AACTATTCTGTTAACTACCTACCATATCACTTAAGGGAAGTAGAAAAATAAAATAAAAAAGAAAAATAAGAAAAAAAAAGAAAATAAAGAAAAAAAATAAGATATAACAAGGAGGAGGGGGGGTTGAAAAAAGTAAAAAAAAAAAACTAAAAAGGGGAGGGGGTTCAAAAAAATAAAAGAAAAAAATAGATATGACAAAAAAAGTAAGGTAAATGCATTATTAGTATGACAAAAAAAACATGTAAAAATAAAAAAAGATAAAAAAAAAAATAGTTTTAGGGGGTTTAAAAACACGAAAAGAAAATAAAAGGGGGTTTAAAAAAAAACAAAAAAAAAACTTAAAAAATAAAAATCGTTTTAGGCGGTTTAAAGGGGGGGGCGGGGGAGGGCAAGTTAGAAAAAAAAAAAAAGAGAAGGGAAAATTAGAAAAAAAGAAAAAGAAAAAAAAATAGATATGACAAAAAAAGTACGGTAAATGCATTATTAGTATGACAAAAAAAAAGAAGTAAAAAGTTTATACAAGGTATCAACAATTTAAGGTAGAGATAAGATGCATCTCACAAATCCACTCAAAAAGGCTGTTCCCGCATCAAAAAACCTATAATTCTTCATCTCGATCTCGAGATATATGGATATAAAAATAAGATTTCTTGTCCTAAAATTAATGCATCTTGTGATACATTATCTACACCATTTATTTTCAAAAAAATTAGGTGTTTATAGATCTGCTCAATCTCATAATATTTGAGCTTTAATTTTCATAATTATGTTAAAAATAGTTTTTTGGGCCATCATAATGGTTTTCAACATTAGAACTATATCTTTTAGAAAGATATAGATGTGTGCCTTATTTTGGTTATTTAATATTGATACCTTATACAAATCACAAGGGGCCTCTAGTAGAAAGTATGGTCTAGGGGAATCCACATACTTTCTCCTATTTTTAAATATTAAAATCTCTATTTGTATATTTGTTCATCTTGAATATGGAAGATGATCAATTCTAGGGCAATGTTTTATAAAGGGAAAAAGTTCATATGAGGTTGCTACCTTATACTTCATAACTAAGATGTACCTCAAAAATCCAATAGAAAAGAGTGTTCCGAAGTAGGAAAATTTTTCAATTGATCATCTCTACTATTTTCAAGATTTTTAAACATTATATATATATATATATAGGAAAAAGCTTCTGTGAGTCAATGGGCTCATAAGAAAAAATGAGCCTAATGGCTCAGATTGAATTTGAGCCGATCTAACGATCACGGATGGCTGATAGTATTTGAATTTTAATTTTTTTTCTACAAATCCAAATCACTTGAAATTTTACATGTGTGTTGATAAAAAATAGATGAATATTCGAAAAATATTAAAAAAATATTTTACATGAAAAAAATGATCAAAATACCCCTCGTAAATTTCAGGGGGTATTTTGATCATTTTTAATTTTTTTGAATTATTGTTTTTATATTTTATTAGGTGCGACTTGATGAGAAGAAAATTCACCTAAAATTTCAAGTGATTTGGAATTGTAGAAAAAAATTAAAATTCAAATACTTGCGGTCGTCAGATCGGCCCAAATTCAATCGACGCCATTGGGCTTATACTATTATGTGAGCTAGTGGGATCACCCTAGCATCTTCTATATATATATATATATAGTAAG